GGGCTCGGCGGGGCCGGGCGGGCGGCCCGAGAGGCCCCACGCGTGTGCGTGTTCGCTAGGGTACGCGGAGAAAGCAGCGCGGAGGAAGGCTTGCATAGCTGCTCGCTCCTGCCCTCAGATATTTTAACGAAGTGGAATAGCGGTGATGCAAAAATGGGGGGGGGCGAAATTGCCTTTTAAAAAAGAAAAAATTATGGTTTCCGTCTGTTGGAAGTTAGTGAAATTTACCTTTTCTGTAGTGCATTTCTAAATCAAAGTCAATTTAAAACCTATCACATCACAGAATGTTCAGAGATGACCCCTCTGTGGGTCATCTAGTCCAACCCCCCTGCAGAAGCAGGGCCACCTACAGCAGGCTGCACAGGACCTTGTCCAGGCAGGTCTTGAATATCTCCAGAGAAGGAGACTCCACAACCTCCCTGGGCAGCCTGTTCCAGTGTTTTGGTCAGGGCAAATGAACGTGCATAATTTCTGAACTTGTCACGCTGACATGTTTTAAGGTTGTGTGGAGTTTCATTTCAAAGCGGGATGTTTGTCAGGAAACTCTGCGGAAGCGGCCATAACGCACTCTGCCTGTGTTTTCAAGGGCCTGCATTTCAGCCCCCCCGCGCACTCCTGCAAGGACTGGATCGGTCCCCCCGACAAGCACTCCAACCTGCGGCCGGTGGTCTTCTACGTGCCCCCTGAGGAGTCGCCCCTGGAGCGGCGGCTGCGGGAGGCGCGGCAGGAGGCCCAGGCCTGCGACCAGCGCTTCTGGGCACGGCACAACTGCGCCTTCCGCCAGGTGAGCCAGCCGCGGTGCCCGGTGCCCGCCTGAAACCGGGGGCTCGGTCTGCATGAGGTAGGGTTCAGTTCTGCCTGCCATTACCCCCTGGTAATTGATACCATTTCTTCCAAATACACATGGTGTCTTTGTGGAAATTACCTTCTTGTCATTCATTTCTTTAAAATGACGTACAAAGCTAAAGAGCCTGCATACTTTGTTGCTCTTTAGTGGCATATCGTGATATTTGCCCCTTTTCCTACCTCACACGGAAAATACGAAGTTGTGCCCTACACGTCTGTGGCTAGAGAAGCTGTTGAAGATGATTCTGCAGCTCTTCTTGCTCTGTCATAAGTGAGAGAAATTAGGTATAGTCACCAAGGGTAAATGAGGGACATGGCCGGTTTCACTGGCCATGTATCCCAACAAGGCTATAAAGGGGACCTTTCGGTCATGGTCAGTCTTCTTTCCTGATTGCAGCGTTGATTAGGAGGCACTGAATGCTTGTTGGAAGAACAGTAATGGTTCAGTAATTCGCCATCTGCTGTGATGATCCTTGATCATCGTATCCTCCCAAAACGTGCAAAGATCTCACAGAAAAAACAAAGCTTGTTTTTTTAATTCCATAGAACTGCTTTTAAGTTTGAAAAACTTACATGCAAATAATTACTCTGTTTCCACCTAAGTAATTTCATTTTTTTAAGGCTGAGTGTTTTTCTCTATGCTCAAATTTTCAGTTATACAATACAGCACATCTTCGTAGGTTGTCTTATAAACTGAGGGTTTGGATCCTGTCAAACGAGACTGAAGCTCAGCTGTAACTTTACTCCACAAATAAGTTTTATATGTTTCAGTAGAACACTTGCATGAATTAACTGATGCATGCAGGTAGCAGGATCTCAGTGACAAAGTTACCGGTTTAACCTACTCACTGGATTCAGGAAAATGTTTTTTGACATTCCAGGTATAATGAGTATTGCCTGTTATTTCAGAGGGTGTTAAGCACTATGCTGCTATGTGATTAAAAGCAACAGTTAGCTTGAACTGAGTACATCAAATTCTAATGTCTAAAAACATGTTTTAGGAAAAAGAAGAATTTATTTACTCAAGACTGAAAGCCAAGGGTCTGGAAATGAGAGATGAAACAGGTTGGTGAGATCTTTGTGTATAGTTTAGGGTGCATTCGGAATTCTGTTTAACTTTGAATTTTGTTAGCTTATCCTTTTTGTGTTCTGCCCCAAGTAAATCTTGAGGGTAAGATTTAGAAGCGTTTTCAGAAGCATGATAAGAAAAGAGGGGGGGAGCTCCTCAGACATGTGCATGTGGGAGTCAGATCATCTGTTGCACTGTTCTTCCCCTAATTCCTTCCCGCAGCTGGAGGGAATGCGCTGAAATCCTGTGCAAGTATTATAGTCATTCTGTAGTCTAGGAGGAAGGGGTCTTTTCCGTTCACACCTGTTGTTAACCCAGTGAGCTAGCTGAGCTAAACATACAGAGCATTTGCCTCAAGTCCGTGCTATGGTTGGGTGGATAAATTCACAGTCTTTGGCTTCAGGTCCATAGCGTATACAATGAATACAATATTTTTCCTCGAGGGAGAGTAAGACAGCTTCTGAGGAGACAGCAGCTGCCCTCTGCCTGTCTTTACCTGAGCACAGTTGCTGTAAAATAGTTCTCTCTCTAATTCATTACGTGAAACTGAAAACAAGATGCCTGCATAATAACAGTGAATTGGCCATTGTAGTATGAGGTTGAACAAATTTGTTCATACAACAGTGATCTGTTTGAGTTTAGAAAAGCATCTGCTCTGATGTTCTCTATATCACAGACCATTATTTTTCTCTTCTGTTTGTATCGTGGTGATCAGTGTGTGGTTGAGAAATAATTAAGGTCTGTGTTGTTGAGGAAACGCTTCTTTTATATTGCCGTTTTGGTTTGGTTTTATACCCTAGAAATAAAAAAAAAAGTAAGCACGTACATCTCTTAGAAATAAAAATATATTGGCTGCATGTGTTGATTTACTCTGTTCTATAATACAGCTGCATGTGTATATAAAAATAAGAGTAATAACAATATACATGAGCAGTTGGAACAAAACTTACTTTTTTATACAAGTGAATCTACAGTCAGTTCTGCTGATACCAGTATGAAGGAACAAATTAACTGTAGGTGTTAAGTAGGCTGCCTTGAAATAGTCTTAGAGTAAACTTATCCCTTAGTATGTTAATCCATTGTAATATATTAGATTTGCAAATAATGACAAGTAGAACTGATCAATAATTTACGTTTCTATGATCAGTCTCAGGAGCTTTAAAATGCATTTTGGAACAGCAACAAGTTGAATATCACAATTCCATCTTCCTCATCATATCCATGTCTGCTGGGACATTCAAATTTGACCCTCATTTTAGAAATACTGAAAGCGCCAGCGAGTTTGCATAGGAGTTACCTGGTAGAGTTGAGAATATTTGTTGGTACTCAGGATTCTACATCTGTGCTGTAGCCACAGGTTTTCCTTTCATGTTCTGTGGAGAGAATCCAGCTCCTCTTATATTCTGCTATATTCAAAGTCATCTTCTGTACTTGCTCCTTCACCAAATAATTGTCTACTGCATTGTTAATAAATCTGACAGAACATACACTCTTTGCTATAAGCTGCCTGAAATTTATCAACAGCAACAGAAAAAAAAAAAAGTACATTGGAAAATATTATGTCAGTTATGGATAGGGTTCTTTAGGGGGGAAATTTAAGTTACTAAGTGCTTTTACTGGTGCTGGTTAGACTTCAGCCCCACGAGAGGTTAATTTTACTCAAAGGATAGATATTCCTAGACCATGGACTTTTTCATAGGGGTCCACTAGTTCCCTAAATAATCTAAAACCTGATAAACATTGTCACTTTCACAAGTAGTAAGGGCTTAAGAGTTATGCCAGCTTCAAGATCATCAGTATTTTTAATCTCCTGTGCTTCCTAGATGAGTTTTAATAAGTTGGTAAATAAAAGAATATTAACTTGTTCAGGGTTACACAGGAAGCTTGTAGGAGCAAGGAGTCAGAACCTAGCTCTCCTGCATCTGAAGCCAGTGTTTTAATCCAGAGAATTATCTTGACATTGTTATGCCAAAACTTATTTTCAGGTCAGAAAGCAACACTGAATGCAGAAGAAATGGCTGACTTTTACAAGGACTTTCTAAGTAAAAATTTTAGAAAGCACATGCAGTATAACAGGTATGTGGAAGGTATTTATGTTGGCTATTCTACATTACAGTCCTAAGGCATAAGATCAAATTTAAAATCTGAACTTTTTTTCCATAATTGGTAAAGCAGCACCAGAACTATCATTTTAGAAAATGATTTTTTTTAAAATGCTGTTATTAGCATTTGACAGAAATTTGCATGATCACTTGAGTTCTACTGCTTATTGTTGATTTAGTGGAGAGATGAATCTCATGTCTGAGATTCAGAGAGTCAAGATCAGGCACTCAGTTTTTGCTCTTTATGGCTTGGGTCTTTTCATCATGCTAATTGAAACTGATAAATATTGAAATTTCTATAGAACAGATGCTAGTTGACTGTTAAATAAGGACTAGTAAATATGATTAATGTCAAAGGAAAATTGCTTACTAATATTTAGTATTCTTGTTTTTATTATTTTGCAAGCATACAGTAAAAATGAAAGTGATTAGCCTTGAGTTTGAGGGGTGTTTGTGTGCAAAGCATTAATAAAATGATCACCTGAACTCATCCTGTATAAAACCTCAGCTACATCTGGGTAAGCCCACATCCACTGTGCCTCTTTGCAACATCTACTGCATTGTTTCAGTGTTACTCTTTGTACAACAACTTGATAAACTGGATTTGGGATCTGACACAACTGGAAAATGACTTGCAAACACACATTACCCTGCAAGTAGCTGTGCACACTTGGTAGAGGGCTAGAAAAGATGAAGGAATGGGAAGCTGGAGGAGGACAGTACTTAATCCAGTTACAGTAGCACTGGCCACTGAATATGAACCACAACTTCAGTTTCTTCTCTGTATTGGATTGAAAGATTATTGGGCTCACAGGTGTCAAGTGTTACTGGGTTCATAATGATGTAATGCTAATGAGAATTCTACCATCACTAGAACTGATCTATAACAAATTGTGGTTTAGGGTTCTTTGTACATATTGTGCATATACTGCAACATACTACACTGCAAGAACAATTTTACTGTAACAAATACTTACAATAAATATGCACATCTTGTCTTGTCGATGGGAGGGGGCAGGGGGGGAAACCTCACCAAAAACCTAAGCAACAGCATAAAAAGATTGAAAGTAAAAATTTCCTTTTAATAAGAGGATTGTTGTTCAAATTGCCTATACCTGATGAGTGAGAAAGCAAATAGTTTATAACTGGTCGTCAGATGCCATTGTTGTAGCAACCTAGGGACAGTGTCCCATTCTTCACGGTAAGAGAGTTCAGGCTTTGTGCCTAAACATGACCTTCCTTGGTGCTGCCTTGTAAAATCAGTTAGTGTAAGCTGCATCATTGTAGTTTCAAAGTGGAACTGCACAGTCCGGAAAGCAGTGGAGCTTTTTACAGGCATTCTCATTTTGAGGGGTCATATTTATAAAAATCTGTTTATACATTTAGCTGTATGTTCTTCTGCAGTGTTGCCAGCTGGTCGGAAAATGGTGGCTGCTGAAGTGTTGCAAGTTCTAAAATTTAGTTAAAATTGAAGCAATGACTGTGCATAGATGCTATGAATATTTAGTTCTGGGTACTTAGGCTGGAAATAGTCTGGTTTAGGGGAAAAAAAATTCAAGAACGATATAGGAAATGAGACATGAAAGGGGAAAAGAAACAGTTGCAATGTTAACATGATATTTTGATTTAACATGACATTTGAGGGGGTAGCTCAGTGCTGCTTGTCAGCATGGTTTTGGCTACTGCCCTTACTGAGAGGTTAGTATCTCAGGTTTATGTTAGATCTGTACATGTAAGGTTTCCCACAGAGATCTCAAGAGACAACCTAAATCCCAGTGTTTAATATTCCCTGCTAGTTCTACAGTAAGTGTATTCTATTGCTTCTAGTGCAGCATTTTACAAAATGGGGGAGTGATCTTTGGAAACCAGAAGGAAATTAAGAAGTCAGTTTGTAACAGGTGCAAGAATTTGAAGCAAGTTCTCAGTCTGTATCAGCCCTTTTTAACCTCTGTCTTATCTTGAATTGGCTCCAGAAGTCATGCATGCTGCATAAAAACTGGTTTAAGATTTAAAGATATAAACACTAACTTTGGCAATATTAAAGGTATCATCTTTAAGGGGTTAGAAAGCTAACGCTTCCTGTATTGGCTTATATAATTAGTCTTTGAAGTGTCATTTTATTTTATTCCCTCCCCCTTTATAGGTGACCAGCTATGCCCTTTCACACACACGTATCTTCATACATGCACAAACAAATCTTACTCGTAATGGCACAGCACTGTCAGGAAATTCTTCTAGGTAGCTGGATGATCAGCTTTACTTCTGAAACGTGAGATATGGTTACAATTTATCTTACACTTGGTTACAATTTATCTTACAATATGGTTACAATTTATGTTACATGGTTACAATTTATCTTACCTGGTTCCAGCTACAACTCGTCATAAAACTACCCATCCCTTAACTTGCTTACAGTTAAGCTCTCAACAGCCATAGCCGTATAGTCTACATGTAATCTGATCATGAATGCAGATATTCAGATAGACCTTTTCATAGGTTATTTAACTCTAATTAGGCAGGAAAAGAGTTGCCACAAAGAATGGAAAACCATATTGCACTGAATTGTTATTTGTCAATGCCAAAGGATATTTTAATATAATCGTGTACCTTTCTCCTGTTCTTGTTCTGTGTGCTGATGATTTTCCTGGCTTTGGATTCCTAGAGATTGGTATAAACGTAACTTTACTATCACATTCCTCATGGGACAAGTAGCACTGGCGAGAGCTCTGAGGAGGCTTCGTTGGAAAAAGAAAGATGCTGGAAATTAGTGATCACAGCTGCATGAAGAAGGCAACACTAGCTAGGCCTGCTATAAACTTGTTGCTTATAGTGATGTTCAGAATCTGAGTGACTAATGTAATAATTGCTTGAATCTGTTAGCTAAACTATGTAAATAAAAGTTGCCGTTTGTCTTAATTTATAATCACTAGGTAGATTTCCTTTACCTTTTATTCCAAGAACATCTAAAATATTTCCCAACTGAAACACAACTGAGAAAACTATCAAAAGCTGCTCCTGGTTTACATTAAATGGAAGGGATCGCTTCTGTCACGTTTTTACCACAGAGTCATAGCTCCTAAGTAACATGTGATTCAGTGTGCTGTACCAGAGTTCGGGTCAGAGAATGATGTCTCCACCAACCGTATTAGTATATAAAGACAAAAATGCCTCATTTTGTGGCAGTTGTCTATCTGGGGCAGTAACTATCCACAAATAATGCAACATGGCTGAAGGAACAAGTATGATTTGTGAGTATATATACAATCGATTTAGAATAATCCTCTTTTCAGTGTGTTTATTTCCTATTTTTCATAAATAATTAGGATATGATTTCATATAAGTTACTAATGCAATAGGATCTTCGTGGATAATTTTGTTTCAGTTAAAAGAAATGTGTCCCTCTTGGACAAGAGTTCTTTTAAGCTATGACTGGTAAAGATTTTAGTTGCTGAGCAATAAAACAGATGCATTTCCAGTCACTTAATCTTGGTAGAAAAAAAACCTGATACTTGGTTGTATGGAGGAGAACATTAGTACTAACATGCACTCCTTTCTAGTGGTTCATTTCTTTCAAAGTAGAGATTTCTCACCAGTTATTCTCACCAGTTTCTCTGAGGCACTCGAAAGAACTTGCCTGAGGGGGAGTTTTCTGGCCTCAAGGTATGTAACATCAATTGGAAGGAGGTTGGTTGAAGTGAAGTCTTAAAATATTATGCCATGTATTTTTAATGTAAAAGAAGTTCTATTCCTTAGAATGTTCTCCCTGTCCATTTATACAGTTAAATGATTTTTTGATACAGTACCTACTAAGAGGATTCTGTTAAAAAGAATGTGTGTTGTCAAATGAAGCCTGTTTTCCTAAAGCTGTGCTGGAGGGAGGTTCTACTTTTGGAAACATCAGGTCAATAGCCATTGACCTGTTTTTCATATCTAAACATGACATGATTTATGCACAGGCTTTTTCAGCTGGGGCAGAAAAAGCTTTTTCAGTATCAACTGTAATAATTCCTTTGCAAGATGAAATAAATATTAATGATATAGTAGCCGATGACACTGTTTCGTGCAGTGATGATATTGTGGCTGAAAAGGTCACTGAGTTGTGGTTTTAATTGTTTTGTTATTAGTAAATGAAAACAGTTGTTAATAGTGTTTGCTGAGGTGATAACCAGCGCTTCTAGAAAATATTATTTGTGAATGTTATTTACTGCATCAGTACTGTAAAAGGTATATATTTATTAAAAAGTTACAAAGTGCCAAGTTTCTTTAGGAAAATAAATTTTTGAAATAAACCACTGTGGCTATGTAATGTAATTCTTCAGGGAGTTACAGTAAATTATATCTTACAGTATATAAGCTTTGACCACAATGCAAATGCAGACTTTAATAAATAGTTCCAACGTAATGATTGGATCATAGAAGAAAGCATCTCTGAAAGGCAGAGATCAGAACCCTGGTGGACTGGTGGTTGATAGCCATATGTTCTGACAGCCTGTGCATCAGCTCCCTAAGGGAGTTTCACATGTGCCTGCAGTTGGTAGAGGTCAGTCAAAAGAAGCATTTTCGTCCCCTGAGCTGCCCACTTTTATTAGCACAGACATTGTTGTGTCTGCCCGCTGAAACGGATCAGGAAATTGACTACTAGAACTAATCCAAGGAAAAAAGTGTTAGGTGTCACTTGCGTTAATGTGTCTCATCATGCAGACACAAGTGTTCTAGTGTTGGTGTAGGGGAGATGTGGGAATTCGGAGGGTTTGGATTGCGCTTCAGTAAACTCACAGGTAAAACTGTTTTCTGAACATGAAATTTTAGTGTTGGTTACACAAGAATGAATACAATCAGCATATGATGGATCATGCTAGGATTCTGCTCAGAGCTACTTGCAGGTGAAGTTCATGCCTTTGTGGCATGGTCTTCATTAAGACTCTGTGTGGGGTGCCGGGTCCCTTCATCTAAAGCCTGTTGAAGGAGTGAGGTATTTATTAGGTAAGTGTTGAGCTTTGATTTAGAATATCTAATAAAGCCACTGTGAAAGATGTTATTAAAAATAATCCATCTGAAATTTTGAGTCTCATTACCAAAACCACATACATACACTGAGATAATTACATTTTCTGAACAGCCAAAAGCCTTATCATTTTTACCAGTGTTGCATTACTTTAATTTTTTTTTCTTGACTCAGAGCAGTTGTAATAATGCCAGCTGCTTTCAGATATTATTGATCATATATCCTTTATACATCAAAGGAAGAATAAGAAGCTGCCACAGACTAAAAATAATTTTTTTATGTATACAGTGGCCTGCTACAGTGACTGAAGCTAGCAAAATAGATCAAAGAGTGACTTTTCAGTGCACATTTTCCAAGTATAGGGAAAAAACAGGGGAGTGTTCTTATCATTTAGGTATTTAGCTAATGCTGTCAGAAGGAACAGCAGTATTTCATATTCAGTAGTGTCAGCATGTGCCTTTTTAATCTGTCTCCTCAGTAAGTGCATAATAAAGCAACAGTATTTTGGTAATATTCAAATAATTTGAGATAGTTCCTACTGACTTGGGGTGTTTATGTTCTGATAATCTGTGTGGGTTTTTGCTATTCACTGAATTTCTCTGCTGGAGCGTTAATCTCCACAGAATATGAGAAGAGTAAGAGGAAGTGTCAAATGGAATTGAGAGGCAGACCAACTAAAGGTTGGGCTGAAGTGATTGTAGCACCTTTATATATGATTAATAAAGAACTGTGCATAGGCCGGTCAGCCTCACCTCCATCCCGGGAAAGGTGATGGACCAGCTCATCCTGGAGGTCATCATCAAGCAAGTGGAGGAAAAGAAGGTTATCAGAAGTAATCAGCATGGATTTACCAAGGGAAATCATGCTTGACCAATCTGATAGCTTTTTACGATGACATGACTGGCTGGGTAGATGAGGGGAGAGCCGTAGCTGTTGTCTACCTCGACTTCAGCACGGCTTTCAACACTGTCTCCCATAACATCCTCCTAGGGAAGCTCAGGAAGTGTGGGCTGGATGAGTGGTCGGTGAAGTGGATAGAGAACTGGCTGAATGGCAGGGTTGTCATCAGTGGAGCAGAGTCTAGTTGGAGGCCGGTAACTAGTGGTGTCCTCCAGGGGTCAGTACTGAGCCCAGTCTTGTTTAACTTCTTCATCAACGACCTGGATGAAGAGTTAGAATGTACCCTCAGCAAGTTTGCTGATGACACAAAACTGGGAAGAGTGGTGGATGCACTAGCAGGCTGTGCTGCCATTCAGCGAGACCTGGACAGGCTGGAAAGTTGGGCAGAGAGGAACCTGGTGAAATTCAACAAGGGCAAGTGCCGGGTCCTGCCCCTGGGGAGGAACAACCCCGTGCACCAGTACAGGCTTGGGGCGGACCTGCTGGAGAGCAGCTCTGCGGAGAGGGACCTGGGCGTGCTGGTGGATGACAGGTTGACCATGAGCCAGCAGTGTGCCCTGGCTGCCAAGAAAGCCAATGGGATCCTGGGGTGCATCAAGAGGAGAGTGGCCAGCAGATCAAGAGAGGTTCTCCTTCCCCTCTACACTGCCCTGGTGAGGCCTCATCTGGAGTACTGTGTCCAGTTCTGGGCTCCCCAGTTCAAGAAAGATGAGGAGCTGCTGGAGAGAGTCCAGTGGGGGGCTACGAGGATGGTGAGGGGACTGGAGCATCTTTCCTATGAGGAAAGGCTGAGGGAGCTGGGCTTGTTTAGCCTGGAGAAGAGAAGGCTGAGAAGGGATCTTATAAATGCTTATAAATATCTCAAGGGTTGGTATCAGGAGGATGGGGCCAGACTCTTTTCAGTGGTGCCCAGCGACAGGACAAGGGGCAATGGGCACAAACTGAAGCAGAGGAAGTTCTATCTGAACATCAGGAAGAACTTCTTCACTCTAAGGGTGACGGAGCACTGGCACAGGCTGCCCAGGGAGGTTGTGGAGTCTCCTTCTCTGGAGATATTCAAGACCCACCTGGACAAGGTCCTGTGCAGCCTGCTGTAGGTGACCCTGCTTTGGCAGGAGGGTTGGACTAGATGACCCACAGAGGCCCCTTCCAACCCCAAACATTCTGTGATTCTGTGATTCTGTGATACATATTAAAAACAATTAATTTCTCAATTTTAATACAAGTTTTAAAAGTAATGGTAGAAACTACTGGGAAGATAGCTTCTATATTTAACTGAAAATTCCTGGTGCTAAAATTAAAATTTAGTTCAAAACCCAGATTTGTTATTTAGAAGCTGACCCTTCCTGGACCTATTTTAAAGGGACTGTTCTGTCTGCAATTTTTAACTTCCACTATCACTAACAAGAATTAGTGTCCTACAGGACAATCAGATTTAGCCAAAAGACAACCTAATTTACATCCTGCACAGAGCCCACGGGACAGTCTTTTGCGTAGACTGGGAGTCTGAAATGCTTTCAGGAAAGGATAATATATGCCTGGAACCGTAATATGCATGAATAATATTTTCATATTAAAGATTATATCTACTGATTGCTGTAAACTGATTCACAGAATAATAACCCCATAACTGAATGTTCAGGTTCATGTCTAAAAAAAAACTAGTAATGGAAACACGGGTTACTTCATTTCTTAAGAATTTCTTTCTTAGGAAGAGTTTAAAAGTACATGGAATGTAATCATCTTGAAATACATGCTCATTAATATTCATTATTATGTAAATAATTACTTTGTGCCTTGAGTTTGCATTTATGAATGGATTAAGATTTACCCAAGTATTGTGAGATTTAGCTGATTGAAATATTGAAATAGCTGACGCTGTGGAAGTGCAAAAGCAGTACTTCTGGCTAGAAAGAGCAAAGGCAAAAAATTACATGATCCCTTGTTAAGTGTGATCTTGCTCAGGAGAAATACTATTTTATAGTACTACCCACAGCCAAAATCAGTTTTAGAA